AAAAAGGAGGGTCCTCCCCGGGAAAATTTTGATTAGCTAGATGGCGGGAAATTAGCTTTCCCGACTTCTGAAGTGTCAGTTAATGACTTTTAGGTTCTTCAAAATTCAAGGTCTTATTCCCTCTTGAAAACCTTCAAATTTGTATCTCCAATCATCATAAAACAACTAATTTTTGCCATCAACTCATTTTTTCATCTGGTACAGAACCAAATACCCTCCAAATTGGCCAAAGTTATTTGCGTGTTTAAGAAAGGCGACAATGATAAACTATCAAATTATAGACCTATATCCATATTACCAATCTTTCCTAAGATATTAGAAAAATGTATGTACAGAATACTTTTTAACTAGGTATCTTAATCAAGTTAACATCATGCAATACCTGAACTTGTTAATAACATATTATTGAATCATTTGAAAATAAACAATTTCAATTAAGTTTATTTTTAGACTTTCCAAAAACTTTTGATGTTGTTAACCACACAATTTTACTCTCTAAACTTTTCTATCAGAGGCATTTCTTTAGAATGGTTTAAAAGTTACTTAAATATTCGCAAACAATTTGTTTCTGTTGGATCATGTAGATCGTTGACGAAGAATATAATTTGTAGGGTGCCTCAAGGGTCGGTCTTGGGGCTGTTACTTTTTTAAATATATGTCAATGACTTGACTAGAATTAGTGACCCTTCAGGTTGTATACACTGACGATACAATTAGTTAGTCCAAACTAGTCTAGGCTTATAGAATTTAGCATTCTATAAGGCCTACATACATATTTCCAGGCAGTTGCTAATTGACCTTGACTCCTCTTCTACTTTATTTGTAACATGGCCGCCTGGCATTGGCAGTGTGACTATGCGATGTGAATCAAATTATGCTTGGACTGATTTGAAATTATGCTAAAATTGTAAAATTTCAATAAGCGCTCCCCGTGTAGGGGAAGAACCCTTCCCCTACATACTTACCTGGGGCGGATGCAGGATTTGGCAGTAGGGGGTTCGTGCAAAAATTTAAGGAAATAGTACCTGTAGATGGCAGGAAATGACACTTTTATATATTAAAATTCATCAGCACATCACCATTATATAGTCAAAAGTATCAGCGATATTCAGCAACCACAGAGATCTAATTAGTATGTAATGTACACATTAAACTAATAAAAACATTCTCTTTGACGTACATATCCCACAACCACCTTAACACCAACATGGTTGGGGCCGAGGTAAAAAATCTGAGGAAATAG